CGTACGATGCGGAGCAGCATCGACACTTAAAAGAATAGACGGCATTTGATTTCAGAGTTTTGGGCACTTTGTCTATGAAAGGAAACAGGCTGGAGAGACGTTTGGTGGATCGAAAGAAGAATCGTATTTCACAGTGTGGGAAAGCGGCACTACAAAGGCGATTGATTTGTGTGCGGATTTGGGATGAGTGTAGACCAGTAAATGGAAGGCCGAAATACAGTATTTTCTTGGGTACGGTATGAACAGGTGGTTTGGGTTGAAAACTTTGTCAAGAAACATTTTTACACAGTGATCAAATATGTGACATGGAAATGAATTGGAAATAAATAATCTGCCTGCTTTTTCGATTTCAATATGGAAGTTTTCATAAGTAGAGCAAATATTAAAGAAGCGATGAACTAAACATAATATTAAACTGCGTTTATATGTTAGTGGGATGAAGCTGTGGAAATTAGTAAAAAGACCAGTGAACGTAGGTTTTCTGTGTATGGACGTAAAGAACTTTCCATTAGAGCGATGAATAGTGATGTCAAGAAATTGAAGTTTTCCATTGTGTTTGATTTCACTCGTAAACTGAATAATGGGGTGTTTGTGGTTTTAATAGGTAAGAAAGGGTTGCAAATGGTCAGCAGTACGAAATTAATAATCAACGTATCTTTTATAAAGCAGGGGTTTAAAGTGAGAGGGACAATTTTTGAGCCATATTTCTTCATGGAATGACAGAAATATGTTAGCAAACAAGGGTCCTAAGGTGCTGCCCTTTGCAACGCTATCAACTTGGTGGTATAGATGACCATTAAATAAAAAATGACAATTCTTAACTGTGCGGTTTAAGAGACTAGTAAAGTTGGGGCGACTGAGGCTTTGAAAAGAATTGTGGTGGGCAGACAAATGGTTAGTAATTATTTCAATGGTATCATCAACGGGGATGTTAGTAAAGAGTGAAGAGATGTCAAAACTGGCCATTACAACATTATCAGTGTTGATGTTCAAGGATAAAAGTTCCTGGGTGAAAGAAAAGGAATCTTTGATCATGAAAGAATTGGACGAGATTGGGGTGAGAATGGGAATAAAAATTTAGCTATCTTATACGAGTAATGATTTATACATGATAGGATAGGCCTTAGTTGAATGTCGGTTTTATGTACTCTGAGTAGTCCATAGAGAATACCTATTCGTGAACCTGTTGGGTAGAGTTCGTCATATGTTCTTTGATCGATTGATTTAGATGATCAATTGATTTAGGTTATTTTTAAATTAACCACTGAAATAATTGTCTTTAAGTTTGAACATACAAATAAAAACAAATATTTGTTTCTAAGAAAAATTTTTCGTTGAATAAGGAATTGAATATGCAAAACATTTTTGCAAAGAAGGCTGAACTGGACGATAAAATTTTATTCGCATTAAAGTGACTCAGCTAGTTGTACATATATGTAATTTTAATATTGATTTACGAAAAAATACCACAATAATATATGAGTTCATCGTATATAAAATTTATAACAGCAATTACTACTAAAATAGGATCCTGGTGTGCTAAGAACATCAAGTGTACCGTTGAATGCCCATACTTTCAACGCTGATTTTTCTTCTGTTGTCAGCTAAGAAATCATTTGCTCCCGGGAGAAGTTCAATCACGTTTATATACACACTCTAAAAAAAGAAAACAACGTCTTTCAAATAGTTTATTACACTAAATGCAAAAATAAATCAACTATATTAGCAATTTTATTTTGATCATCCACATGCCTCTCTGTTATTTACAGTTTTATAGTAAATAAAGACATCTCTTACATCTGCATCAAGGAACATTGACGCCATTTTCTGATAAATTTCTTCAAATGTTGGTCTTTCTTGGTGATTTTTCTCCCAGCATTTTATCATCAGTTCGTATCTTAAGAAGAATAGCAATTGAAAGAAAAAATTTTCTAAAACAAGACGCGCAGAATAAGCAACATGCATTTGGATTCTAAGTACTTCAACCTATTATGCAGCTGAAACTGAGATTCTTTAAAATGTAAGATTGGTGCTTTGAAACATGCCATGTCCACACAATTACTAATTGGACAGTGAAATTTAAATATGGACTGTGCTACATGCCATCAAATTTTAAAGGAATTTAGTGCATGGAAGTCAACACATGATCGTTAACAGCACAAGATCGTTTTTTCATTCCAAACCATATATTACTACATTATTTGTACCTTTTGAATTAACTTAAGAACTTCCAACCATACACAATCAACTTATTGTAAAATTTAAATCCTTTCGTAAGATTTTATGTCATTTTCTACCTTTTTTTAAAAAAATTTGTTACTCCCTAGTAATTATAATTTGACGGGTTTGTTTTTTTTATATATGGACAAGAAATCAGAAGTTTTATGGTTTATAAAAACAATTTCATTACCGTTGAAGTATCCAACTGACTAGAATTCAACTTTAAAATGTATGTTTAAGTGACTGACTGAGTGACTGACTGAATGACTGTCTTAAAATGTATGTTTTGTTGCGTAATCTTGTAAGTTCAGTATTTTATAAATAAGTCTATGAATAGATTCTATTAAGCTGTTTGTCAATTTGTTTCCCAATGCCTAATGGGGAAAATCGTACTATAGAAAATTATAACACTTGGTCGTGCCAAGCCGGTGACTTTTCTTAGCGAGATGTAAGTACTTTCATATTCTTATTAATTGTAATTGCATTTGCAAATGGTAAAAAATTTTCTTTTCCAGCCTTAAGGTGTTTTTCAAATCACCTTTCTTGTCCCGTGGAATTAAAAAAATGTTAGAATCAAAGCCGCCTTCACACATTAAGACATTATATTTGAGGCTGGAAACCGTGATATTCTTAAAAGATTGCGAGACGGTTATTTCAAGCCTCGTTTCACACTTCCAATCATGGCATCTGGATATAAATTTCGGTTGCACGAAGCGAGTGCCAAAAGCACAAAAATCTGAAGGCTTTCTCACCCAAAAATTTTAGAAATCAAGAATACATAAAATGCTGTGTCGTGGTAGTTGTGAAAAGATTTAATCTTATTTTAAATGTTATAGACAACAGATAATAGTATAAAAAACCACATAACACCTGGTCATTTTAAGAAATGCTCAGAACTGCTTATGCTCTAATCCAACGTCTTTGTTAAGAAGGAAATTAGGTACTAGTTTAGGTGAATACCGCAAAAAATTTATGAAATTTAGGTCTCAAAAAATAGTATTTTTAGTTTTATGAGAGCACAAGTAGAAAAAACGATTATGTTTGCAAAAAAAAGATTATGAAGAAGAAGATGAATTCAAGCTTAACATTTGTGTATTTTAATTTTTGTCTCAAGGACAAATCAATTTTAAACAATATTTATTATAGTTAATTAAGCGTTCAATCTTTTTGGTTTATTTTACGTTTAGTTAATCCCACATATTTTCTCGATAATTTAATTGAACATTTCAGAGTTTAGAACTACCTGTTTTCCAACTCGAACTGCTTCTTTCAGAAAATACAAGGTCGTATTATGACCCTTGCCTCATAATAAAGAAACAAAAAACATTCTGCACCCTTCCACTTACATTTGCTTCAAATTTCGGTAGAGTTAAAAAATATAACTTAAAGCCTGTTTCCAACGCCGAACTTTACATGCACTGAATGCATCAAAGACAAAAGAGAATGAGATGAACGTCCTCATTATTGTTTGTTTTAAGTGCATCTGGTTCATGTAAAGTTCGACGTTTAAACTAGGCCTCAGTCTTAAGAATCTGTTTAGGCTTTCATATTGTTAGTCACCAGGAATTTAAAATAACTGATAAAGTACGAGTAACATAGGGTCAAAATTTTTATAAATATCCTTGCAAAACTGACAATAGTTCGTGCTTAAGTCAGTGATCGGTCATATTCTCTAAAAAATCAAATGAAATACCCGTTTGAATTAAGTACAAAATTAAGTGAATAAATACAATGAAATCAACACTACACTTCCACGACTTTGTTTATAAACGTTTTATCTAAAGATGATCGCAGATAGAGACGCACTTACACAAAAAATTTAATTTCATTGTGAAACATATCATGGCATTATCAATGTCATATGTGCAGCAAACTGTACTGACTTTAGTGACTTGGCGAGCAATCAGAATCACAAGAAATCAAATAAAAGTGTGCAAGTTTAAGCAGTGCAAGTCAAACATGGAGAAAGTGTAAGCGATTTCATCACCCTCTTCCTCCTTCAAATGTTTTCTTAACCGATTTAGACAAATAAAAATTTGGTCAAAATGAACACTGTGGTGGACATGTCGTCTAACGTAGTTTTTTTAAAAAACACTTCCTGACTAATTGCATTAAGTTGTTTGCAACGACAAAACGTTCAGTTTTAAGTAAAAAATTAAATGGCGCAATTGAAAGATGCTCTCCATGAAGTTTAATCATCGCTTACATATTTTTGATGGGACAATGCTTGCCTTTTAATACAATTTTGACCGTTTACAATACAAATTACAAACAGGCTAAGTACTTACAGTGTGGCAGAGCATTGTGGTGGTTTTTCCATTCTTTTTCCCGATGTAACGTAAGTAAACGTGTCAAACGCTGAAATTCCAGGGTAAGGTTCCTCTCCTATAAAGAGTTCAAAAGGAAAGAATTGTGCAGTAGTGCCGACAAAAATATTTTATTTTGCATTAAGAAATTTAAGAATCAAAGATAATTTGGTCAAAATTACTTGTGCAGCCGGACTCTTTTTAAAGTTTTTTATAAAATGGAAATGAGTTTTTAATTAGGATGAAATTGAGCTATGATAAGCTCAATAATATGACAATCTTTTTTATAAGAGAAACTTTACAATACATTTCTTTATGCATTGTGTGCAAAGAAACTCACTCTTGTGTAGGATTTTAAAGGACACAAAACAGTTTCGAGGAGATCGTTGTTTTTTTTGCAACATGTATTTCCTTAAAACTTGAACTACTAATTGTAAGAGACAAGGTTATTATTTGTTTGATTTTTTGCAACTTATATAAGTACTCGGTCTAATGACGGAGGACAGATTTTAAGATTTGACTAAATTTGACTCACCAAGTGTCGATATTTCCCACAACACAACTCCAAATGACCATCTATATAAGAAAAGTCACACGACACAAAGCGATTTCAAATATTGGAATTCGAGCAATGATGTAATCTTGAGCAAGAGTTATCACTTACACATCACTTGATGTACGAAAATTCCTTGCGTGAGTGACTCTAACGCCATCCACTTTACAGGCAGTAGATTCTTAATAAACAATAACTAATTAACGCTTCCCATTATTTGCCACATCCATTATATTTCTAATTGCTGGGGGTGGGGGGTTATAGTGCCTTCATCATAACGGCACAAAGTTCTTCTGCTTTTTTTAAACGTTTTATGCGTTTGACTTCTTCAATAAATCTAGAATACGTAAAAGGCAGACAAAAACTTTGTCGATAAAGATTTTTGGAAATAAAAAAATATAGGCGCATAACTTTATAAGCGTTGTTCAAAAATATGTAATCATCTAGTTCCTATAGTTTTTTTACTGATGTGTGATTGTGTGAAGAAACAGTATCGCCTTTCTTCCTGAAGTAAAAAATATGTTTATAAATTGTGATTTCGTGCATGTAATATATTATATGAAAAGCTTTTCCATTTCCTGAAATAAAGTATGTTTAGTTTAGTATATAGCGTTCGGCATTACTCTTTTTCGCTCATTTAAAAAAGGTATTAAGAAATCTTACAACATAATAACCCTCTAAATAATAATCCCCCTAATTGCAATTGTTTTGAACTTACTCTGTGTGACTTGATGTACATTTCATCAACTCCCGCAATCGGTCTTGCCAAACCGAAATCTGATACTTTAGCTTCAAAATTCTCCCCGATAAGAATGTTCCTAGCTGAAAGATCTCTATGGACAAACTATTTGAAAAAAAAGAAAGATTTGAAGCAAATACTGATTTTATACAGTGATCTCACATTTTACATCGTTTTACGGTTGTTTTAGAAACAATTTACTTCGCAATTAATCAAAACTTCAGTGCCTCTATAGCTGAATATATGTATGTACATTTAAGTCAGAAAAATAATTGTAACATAAAGTAATTTTTATTCAGTGCATGATCAAGTAAATGCTAAATTTCATTATCACCGTAAATATGACAACTTTTACACTTACTAATTTATTCAAAACGGCTGTCACTAGTAATACTGTAAAGCTTTTACTCTACAATTCCCCCTCTCTGGCTTTTCCATACTGGCTTAAGAGCTTTTTTAGCAAAATATATAATAAAGTAAATGGTTTGAACCCGGGAGTATCGCTACATGTTTGTAAATGTAGATCGTCCAGGTTGGTATATTCCTGAGAAGGACGGTTTTTGTTGTTATTGACTGACGTTTGGACAACCTTAGCGGTAGTCATCTTCAGAGTCAGTTAGTTCAGTCGTTGTTCTTGTTGCTTGATGTAATAGTTGATTCGTCTGTTATAGAAGGAACTCATATCAACGACAGTAAGTGATACTTTGCTTTCTACGATACAAAATATTGCAGAGAAACGAGCAAACAAGATAGAGACATTACACCAAATCAAACAACAACATAAACGTGAACGTTTAAAACGCACTAAAACACGTACAAGACATAAACAGGACGATAACTGGGAATATTTCTCCTCGCTCATTAGACGAAACTAAAACACGACTGCTATCTCACGGACTAAAACATGTCAGTCAACAACAACAGAAACAGTCCTTCTCAGGACTATACCAACCTGGACGATCTACATTTACAAACATGTAAAAATATATAATAAACGAAAATAATTTGTCAAACTTTACTATAGTAAAAGGTTGGTCACTAGACTTAGGTTTTTGACCAACCAAGTGACAAACAAACGATTGATATAAAGAGTGCAGGTATTGTTATGGAGTAAAGCCTTCCAGAGAAGCGTTTATTAACTGCATAAAAATGAATAGAACAATTATATTGGTCTTTTCATAAAGCAACAAGCAAACATTCCGTCTATAATTAAATAGGTTTGAACATAAGAACAATAAGATACGCAAAGGATTGATTTAATTAAAAGTGATCTAAAGATGTTGGAATTGCTAAATAGAGTGATTTTAAAGAATTAAAACTAACCTTATGCTTTTCAAGATGATGCATCCCATTTGCGATATCAACAGCAATCTGAATCAGTTTGGTGTGCGATAACGTTGAAAAAATATTTTTATACTCATGAAAGCTATTTTTGTCGGTTTCGGATGACAATATTCGGCTGTTTTGTAATAACTTTCGAAGATTTCCTCGAGCACAAAGCTCAGTGACGACAAAAACGGGCTCTTCAGTTTATTAAAAAAAATTGAAAACGGACTTTTTAAAAAATGCTAATGCATGATACGTTACATAAAAATGCTAATGCGTGATGACGTATGAAGATCAGCATATCCACTTTCAAAGTTTAGTCTTGCTGTGTAAATTTCAAATCATTATTTCTACAAATCTTTTTAAATATTTGAATAATAATACCTTCATTTGTTACAGCACCGATAAGTTTGATTACATTTCGATGAGGAGTTTTGTTTATATCTTTTAATATGCGAAGTTCCATTAACAGATCGTTGCGATCAGCAATAGAAACGGAGTCTGAAAAATTAAGCAAATTATTTCATTGCAGAATTTGAAGTTGTTTTACTCAGGTTTTTTAAGGAACAATTAAAGAGTAAGACAGTTACTGACTATTTGCGTAGTAAACCCTCATTAACATAGCAAGACTAACGCCTGTCTTTATAGAGCCCCCTCACATTCACACTTATTGAGTGCGAGTCAAGAAATATCATTCCACTAATCTATAACTACAACTTTATTTTTGATTTTTGTCAATAATGCAGCAAGGTTTTTTAGTTGTTATGAGTTGAATTGGAAGCACCAATCGTGCGAGTTTGAATACGTTTTTAGAACACAGGCGTAAAACTTGTGGCAGGCAACGCTTTGCTAGTGATTGTTGACAGTTATGTTTTAAATATTTTTTATGTAAATTTTTTACGTACTTTATGTATATAGTTTATATAAATTGTAGCTCTGCTTGAATGCCAATAAATGTGATGTACGTGAATTGGCGTAGCCACCTTCGTGGGGAGCTTTTGTAGCCGGTATTCTTTGGCATGGGGTTGGTGGGTGCATTTTTTCAAAGTACTTGTGCTGCTATATCGGGTATAAATCATTGACGGCTGCCAAGTAAGTACTTTGAGAAAAGCAAAGTAAGCTAGATGATCAATAAACAAGCCACATAAGTTTTTTGCATTTTGCTTTTTGATGACAGCGCCATTGTCTTAGCACTTACTAGGCCAGTCCAAATCAATTACTTGAAAGCAATGCTAGGCTTAAGTTCGATTATGTTCGATTATGTACATTTGTGTGGCAGCAAAGTTTAACAGATAACCTTAGCCTGCTTGTGTACGCAGGCTAAGGTTATAGTTTGCATGGTGAATTGTGCTTAGCTAAGAACTTTAAAACTCAACCAAACTGCCTAGGCATGACTGATGCATCAGCATCAGGCAGTTTGGCAAGAATGAAAAAACTGCTCGATAAAATGCTTAAAATCTAATTGACGTAGCGGGCTCATTAGTAAAATCATTAAAAGAAATCAACGTCAATCTTATGCTTCTAATTTTGTATTTTTGTTTGCACATGTATACATGTTTCAAGATGCTTGTAAAAATTAATTAAGTGAAATATGTTAAACTTGGGCATTTGAAATACAAACAAACTGCTGTTCAAACTGTCATACGTTGCAGTCAATCAAAAATTTTACCTTTAAGCATCTTAACAGCTATGTATATATCTTGGTCCTTGTCATGATATATCCCTTTCTTCACCACACCAAAGCATCCTCTACCTAGTGTGCTGTCCGTAATTGTAAGTTGTTTTCTATTTATTTCCCAATCATCCAGAACGCAAATATAGGACATTGTGCCTGGATTTTGAAAAAAACATGTTGTGGAACATTGTTTGTTGTAATGTGAATGATTTCAAAACGAGAGTTATCGTTACATATTTGTAGATGTAGATCGTCCAGGTTGGTGGAATCCTGAGAATTAAGTACTGTGGTTATCTATTGACCGACATTTCGACAACCTTAAACTTAAACGTTTGGTTCAACGTATTATTTGACTGGCTTATACGTCATCATATTGTATGTAGAGAGAATATGTTGGTGTGTGGCTGTTATACATATCTTGAAAATCTTGTGTATTTTTGTCATTGATTAGTCAGAAGTGCTATGATTTTTTGTTCGCATGAGGTACTGAAGAAGTCGTTTGTAAAATATTTATATATACTTACGCAACTCCTCTTCTTCTGTAACTTCATTGATATTGCTATGTTCTTCAAAAGATGGTAAGAACGTTAACGATCTGTCATCTTCTTTCACCTTTATGAAATATATTATTGAAGTCAAAATTACAATATATATAATGAAATTTTAAAGAACTCTTCGTCAGCCCGTACATTAAACGCATGTAAGTTAAAAGAATAAAAACACTAGCATTCAAGCACGTTAAAAGCACCGTTTTGATCCATATTTCTCCTTAAAAATAAGCCTTAAAGTTTTAGTTAAGGTGTTTTGTGACAAACATGTTATCGTCATGATGTCAATGAACCAAAGTATTCTTGTCTTTATGACATGTCTAACTTTTAAAGCTGTAAATTGTAGACTGTAAGAAATGCTTCAAAAATTAACATCATTTTTTTCAACTGCTCCGGGAAAAAAAATTCTGTTTGAATTTTTTTAAAATATATTTCAAACAACCGTATTGTATAACAAAGATGGTAAAGAGAACTTCACAAGAAAAGAAATTATCATTGCAAAACACAGCTAAACTGGTTTATTCATTACAACCAAAAATATTGGCATGTATTTATAAGAAAAAATACATTGTCTTAGTATACCATCACCAGGAGCTTAATTTGGAAGAAAGAACACTGGTGGAGCAAGTATTTTGAAACACTTTTAAACCTAACGGAAAAAATAGGGGTGGAAAGCTAATTCATATTTTATAAAAATGTTATTAAATGTTAAAATTTTTGCATGAGCATATATCAATCTGAAGTCTTTTATATTAAGCGTCTCTTTGTCTCTTTATATCAAGAAACAAATCAGTTTCCAAATGTTAGGTATGCAAACGGGAGTTAAATGTTAATTTCCTAATAAACAGACAGAATATTTTATGTGGTTGTGATTATGATGTAGTTTTCTCAACGACAGTTGAACTTTAGAAATTTTTGGATTCTATATGCATGATCTACCGTATTACATTTTTTTGAAATCCTTTTTCTCTATGGAATATAACATGCCTACATGAATATATAAATATACATCTACGTCAAAGATGAAGCTTTCTTCGTCCATGCTGAATAGTGGTTAGGATACCCATGATAAGTATTAGTCCTATTTGAAAATGAATCTTCTAGATGCTGAAGTATTGTGAATTCACTTGGCTAACTTTATTTAACTTGAATAAAATACTGCTAGTCTTCTAGAATGTATGATATAACTTTTTCCTTAATTCTTTTTCATTTTTGTTTTCCAACAATATAACGTCTATCTCTTTGACCAGCAGACAGTTGACGATGCTTTATTTTTGTTAGAGATAAGCAAAGTAATTTTACTTGAAGGAAGTTTTTTGTAAACATTGACGATTTTCAAAAATACAGCAGACAGACTGCAGACATGCTTTCATCATCCAGTATCTTATAGCTAATTGCGCATATTGTATCAGCTTTTAATTCAATATTTTCTTTGCAGATTCAGAATTTGCTGTACCATTTCAGTTTCTCTATCGTTGCTTTAAAATGCTCCAAATCTGAGTGATTCCACTTGTGATGCTCCTCTTCTGATGAGATCAGTCAGGTGACTTAACTCATAGTTATAGTTTTGAATCCCTCAATCTTCTGACTGACGTTACGCTCCTCATACTTTAGTCACAAACTTCTCGTTAGAGTAAACCGGCTTTGTGGAGTCTCCCAGCTTTTTTGCAAATGATATATAAATTAATTCGGCAAATATCGAGCAATTTGTTTTATGTATTCAGCACACAAAATGTAGGTATCAATTGAACAAACCTGTGTGTGTGATTTCAATATATGATAAAATATATTAAACTAAAGGCATCGATTATGTATGTCTCCTGCTTTATTACTGACCTCATTGTTCTCCGTAGATCTTTCTCTGTCGAACTGTTTTTTCAATCTTTGCGCAAAGAAAATAATGGCAAAGATAAAAAATAAAGACGATAAAATGGCCATGACAATGATAACAGTTTTAGATATGACATCAGATTTATCTTTTACTGGCGTTGGCTGCGTTGATTTTACCAAGTTAATCTCTGTAAATGGAAAATTTCCTTAGGTTATCAAAAAAAATACCTTAACTAATTATTAATTATTAACGCAAAATAATACGCAAAAACTAAAATTTTTGCAATGATAAGAAAAGTGCTCAACCCTGAAGTAGCTAAAAGGTTTTTATTATATCAGGCATAACAACCTAATGGTAAATAAGACCAAGTTAAATACCGATTAAGGAATGGCAGTCAAATCTATTGAATTTGTCATTGCATGAACTGTCATTGAGTAAGAGAAGCATTGCATAAGCAAGCGCTACTGAATATTTAATTCTACATCTACCTGCGCATTTTATTCCGTCACCAAAAAACCCAACATTACATTGGCAAATAACCAAAGAAGTCCTGTTGACAGTACAGGTAGCATTTGCATGGCATAATGACTTTCCCGTCGTGATATTAGAGCAATTTACTTCAGATTGGATTAAATCTAAACAAAAACAAAACGCATGTTCACATATCTCGCTTTAAAGAGGACAAAAGTTACAACGGAGAACCAGCATTGGCCAACCATTTTACGATAAACACCACTAATTGATGTTTTTTATTCAGTCAAGTCCAAGTGTAAAACAAATTCGATGCAGTTATTGTGAATTATTTAACGTCTTTAAGAGGCGGACTTGCCTATATTAGAGCACGCGGAATTTCCGGAGTGCCTCTGTGTCGTGCGCTCTTTCGCACCCCATTCTCGAGAAATATATAGAGAGAAGAATGACTCAACTTTTCAAGCGAATTACGTAAAAGCTAATGTGCTATAATGACTATAGACCAATTTGCGCCCTTCTATAGAACTTTGTATGTATAGAATGTGTTGGTTGTACAGTTTCTTGTAAACAGTAGCTGACACTGACATTCATAGTTAATTTTAAATTTTAGAAAAATAAGTAACAACGATTGGATAAAAGATCTCGCATTTACATATTAATTATTTAAGAATAAATGGTGAGTAGATGTTTCTATTGCTCATCAGTGATTGCAAGCTTTGTGTAAACTTAATGCCTTTTACGTTTTTAATATAAAAGGGGTGAACTTTTGTGGATCATTTTCTTGACTCAATGTAGGTTAACCAAAATAGAAACGATCTATTCCTCTTGTACCAATAAAAAAACATCCCTCCCACTTGTTCCAGTCGTAAAACGATCATCATTCAGTTTTTTTGACGTTTTAAAAACACAGCATTTATACTCCTGACAAAAACTGCTTAACTCTTTTAATGATGATCATTTAAAGGCAAATCATAAGAATAAATTTATAAGTTTCCACTTAGCATTAATGTCTCGTGCTAATGGGGGTATATATTAACGTAATTGAATAAGTACGGTTTTTGCTGCTACACGTTTCTAAAAACTTGAATTAAAAAAATTTGTTTGTTATAAATTGTGTGCTGCTTAAAACGAGACACAACTCTCATAACAATCCTTGCGGTATCCTGAGGTATTTTTTATCGACGTGGACTTCATCGACATCGCTGAAGTATTTTTAGTCTCACATACACACACAATTGTAACTTTAGCTATATGAGCTCAGAGCGTTCATCTATTTATAAGATACCTGTGTCATATGTACAATTTTTTCCATTGCCGGAGAAGCCTTCGTTGCACTTGCATTGAAAGGCACCAGTCTTGTTTGCTATGCATGATGCATTTTTATGACACTCAACACAAGCTAAAAAATTAAAGTAGCATTTATTTGTTTACACGGGGGAGGGGCATAAACAAAAAACTGAACAATCGTGAAAACGACAACAAAGTGATCAGTGCCCAAAATTTGGCAAAACCTATGGGGAAGTAGGTGTAGTTTCACTTCCAACGACTTGCCTCACAAGGTGTATAAAAAAAAGCTGAACAGATAGGAAAACGTCACTAAAGTTATCTGAGTGCAAGATCTGCCATAACCTTTGATTGAATAGACAATTGGATTTCAAATGAATCATCTGGCTGTAAAATTGATGTAAATAGTAACCATTTTCAGAGTGAGAGTTATGTTACCAAAAAGCACTTTTGAAATAGCTTGCTCACATAAATGTCAAAGCTAAAAAGCAATTAGAACACAAAGGGTTTAAATTTGGCTTATGGATTTTAAGCTTACAAACTTCCAGGAAATTTGGCCAAACCCTGCATGGCTGCTAGACATCTCAATTGCCGATTATTTTGCGTTTTTTCATTTTCAAATTCCATTACTAAACCAAAATTTACGCATAATTGATGAGATTATCACAGGATAGCATTTTAACACGAAAATTTCAAAATATTTTGCAATTTGAAAGCTAAGCGTTCAGGTACGCATAAGCAAAATTTAAAAAGATCAAAATTTATTAAATTAAAAAAAAATTAGATTTAATTCAAATTAAATTAAATTTAAATTAAATTTAAATTTAATTCATTAAATTTAAATTTAATGAATTTTAAGCATTCATTTCTCAAAGCTAAGCGTTCAGGTATGCATAAGTAAAATTTCCCAAAACTTTGTTAGCTTAAACAACAAGTTTGACATTTTAACACTATGTGCTAAAACGTCTTTTTAGCTTCATCATTTTCGTGTGCAAGTCATGGCAAAAGAGTTTCTTAGACAGGACAGGTGCTCTAACAAACTAAGTAAGAGATTAACAAAAATTTTTGACACTAGAATCGAACGTTTAGGTTGTTAGTATTGATTTAGGTCAAACAGCATTTTTGCAAATGTTTGTACCTCACATGACTAATGACTTCATCACATTTAAAGAAATTGGTTATACGTCTTGAATTTTAGCAAAACACAATAATAAATGCATATTTATGTAGCTGCATATGATGGGGCTTCTGTTTGGAATTCAATTCCAGCAGAAATCAGGAATAGCAAAGGCGTGTCACGTTTTCAAAACAAAATTGCTGCTTTTATTTTATGATTCAGTTTAACATGTAACTTATTGAATAAACTAAGCCCTTTAAATATTTAAACTTATCTTTCTCTTTTATAGTTATGTTATTTCTTAGTAAATTTTGTCATCGCTTTTGAACAAAAGCACGCCTCTCGTGGAAATCAACCCCAGTTGACTTGGTCAGCGTGTAAAAATAAAGATTTTCATTCATTCATTCATTCATTAATTCATTCATTCATTCATTCATTCATTCATTCATTCATTCATTCATTCATTCATTCATTCATTCATTCATTCATTCATTCATTCATTCATTCATTCATTCATTCATTCATTCATTCATTCATTCATTCATTCATTCATTCATTCATTCATTCATTCATTCATTCATTCATTCATTCATTCATTCATTCATTCACTCATTCATTCATTCATTCACTCATTCATTCATTCATTCATTCTTTTAACTAATCCTAATCGATATGAAATTTTTCGGCAAAGCAGACAGTTAACATTTTTACCGTTAACAACAAACATGCAAGCCGAATAATCTTTGGCTTTATATGAAAGATTAGCAATAACCCCTTCTAACACTTTTAATTTTCCCGCACGACTAAAAAGAACAGCTGTTGTTTGTTTTGAAGGGGGACGCTGACATAGGCTTTTATTAATAGTCTCTAGTATAAAACTGTAATAACTGTTCATGTATCCATTTTAAACAAAGTTAATTTCCCATTTAACACAAGTCGAACTTGCCAGTAATCTTTATCGTTATCACTCGATCCAATTTCTTAATCCTATTGGCAAATATAAAGTACTCACTGATTTATATTTTCATTTGCCTACACTTTCAGTGTTTCCCATTACCAATTTTATACCATACATTTGCCAAAATTTGCATACTGATCCAAGTGATTAGGGTGAAGAAGTAGCGTAGGCCCACACACCCCTGTCTCTATGGCTCTACATCAAATGATATTTTGTTTTAATTTAAACGCCATTCAAACTCGATACCTGTCGTAAAACTGCAATTTTGTCCACTGCTATAAAATCCTTCATTGCACATGCATTGAAATGAGCCAGTCTTGTTTGCCATGCATGACGCATTTTTACGACAATCAGAACAGACTAGAAAAGTAAAGTAATATGTACTTGTAAATACAACCATCATTAATTCATGAGAATAATTTAATGTATATAATCTTTGTATAATCTTCCACTGTATTGCATTGGTAAACGTCTCTGAGACATATATGCATATAAAATTCTTTTCTATATATATATCGAGGATGGCATCAGGGCATGTCAAAATATGTATATTCTTAAGAAACTTGTCGTAATTATCTTCTGGCAAAGAAATAAAGTAACAATGCATTTGTTTTTAGGAGTGAGACTGCAATCTTAGATTTCTATACTCTTTTTCTCGTAAAATATCTAATTTAAAAAGTGTTGAGTTTTTTATGTCGAGAACAACTTCGGTTAATAGTGTGCTGTGAGCAGGCTTTAACAAAAATATATTACAACGGTTTTTTGAATGCTATAATATTTTAGGGGACAAACTTGTAATCCGGAGATATAAAGTCAACAAGGGAAATCAATTAAAGGGGAATCAAAAAAGTAAACTACGAAATCAACCTCATACGAAATTAACAACCTCATATCAATCACTGAAAAAATAATATTGAAGAACAAAAAACATATGAAGAAAATTAAGAGATGAACACAGTTACTACAGCCGCCAAAAATAAATCTCTTAAAAAAATTGAGGCAGAACTTAATCTTACGTATTGAAATTATAGAAATGAAGGAACTTTAAAATGTCCCCATAGTTTAAGAGGCCATTTGAAAACATGTTTCCTAATTTTTACTCAAGTAGATGCAAAGAGCATGAGTGATGAACAAAAGTTTGGCTTTTCACTGGAAGTGTTTATAACGAATAAATGAGAGCTAATATATCACTCTCAAGCCCCGGGTTTTTTCTGCAAAACTTTGCCTGCATAAACTTATAAAAAGAGAAAGTAGTAAAACAAAGCTTTTTGTACATGCCCGCATTGACAAAGTGGTGGGGTTAGGAACAGGGAAGAATGTTTTGTTATAGTATTTGGAGATTCTATGAAAGTTTAAGCAAAAAATGTGACGCATAATAAACATGCTAAGCGCAGGTCATGATGTAGGCTAACATTGTCGGAGCAAGAATGCTATATCGTTATAGAGGAGCATAACTTTGCTTTCATGAACCCAAACATGGAAATTAAGAAGAAATAGCGTACATGCGGGTAGCTTGAACTCACATTCACGTTAAATGAATACATGGCAATAAAATAAAATAAATTGCATTGTGCAAATTGAAATTGCAGTTGTATTTGCTGATTTGTTAAATCAACCGAAAACAGTTTCCTTCTTTGCAAAGAATTAATGGTTGAAAGAATTCCTCAATCATTTTAACCAAATGTCGCCTAGAAATGGTTGCAACTTTGCAACAACTCATCATGCAAAATGACGTTAAAATTCAAATAAATTGGACATTCAATATTTTGAGAATGAACAGAGATAGCTATGCATAAACTGTTTCAGAAAGTACACACTCATTTTAAATAATTTTTTAAATAAAAATATGATTTAAATAGTAAAATCTTCATAAAATTTTGTTGGTCAGTTTTGAAATATAGTATTCGCGTTGCAGCTGGAACGAGTGTTTGACTAGCTAAAACATAATTTATCTAGTCCATTTTGCACTAACAAAATTTCACAAACATATTAAAAATTTGGCAAGCAATGATAAGGTAATTCACTGCTCCTTGCATAGATTTTTTATCAAATAGTGCATCAAAGAACGATACAATAAACCAAACTAATAAAAAATGTGACTTGATGGTGGTTATTCCATTGGGAGAGTACCCAATTAGAAAATACAGCTCTGGACTTAAGAGCGTTAATCTGCCATTGATTGTTATTTTAAATTGATCCATTTTAGCTAAGCTTAAGCACTGTAAAGTAAAAAAATTACCTTCGTATTTTGTAACAGTCAAATTTTGTGATGCAAAGCATCCGAATCTTGTAAAACCCGCTAAAAACCTACAGCTAAAGGACAATTTTCCCAGCGTCTTGACTGTTATATTATGCAGGCATTCTGGATCATTGCCCACATTAAATTCACATTTGTGTATTTCTTTACGGATTGAATTGTCAATCATAACAATTCTCTCTATTCTGGTTAGTCGTGGACTAAAACGTGGTATTTTAGCATCCCTGCCAGTGCAATTGATTGTCACATTGGAGCCAATGCTGGCAATATCACCAGGGACAAAGTCAATGATACCATAAACGTTTTCGCTTGGAGGCACTTTAAATCAAAAAACAATATTTTACAAGTTTGACACATATTACACGATGAAGCAAAAACTAAGCCATACAATAAATTCATTTTCAATGAGCTTATCATTTCGTTTCAGTGGTTAAGTGCGAATAAAAGTGCAACGTATTCAACTTAATTTGATATATATAAAAACACCATGATTCGTGGTAATTCCATGGCATTGTCAGCTCCATGAATGAATGGCAAATAATATATTCGTATGGCTATATGCATGTTTTAATCACTAAGAAACAATTGTTTCGAAAACTTTTTTAAGACGGTAAAATATGCCTGTAGGATCAAGATCCCTCGTTATGTTTATTATGTCTATGGAATAGAATATAAATACATCTAGTTCGTGTCATTTCATTAGGTGATTTTTTTCCGTCCATTACAAGAAGGCAGTAATTTGTTATTAGGCATTATAAGTGTATAAATAGGACCAATACCATTAGTTGAGCACATTCTAATTCTCACATTTTGAGCCAGACCACTTTCAACAACAGCCATGCCAATTAGAAATACATAAATAAAACTTTTGATAGTCATGACACTTCCAGGTTCCTGAAATAAGAATAATTCATTGTAGATGACTATAATGAGTATAACATTTCGATTTACATCCCACTGTAAGAGCAGTTGTAGAAATAAGAAGAGGCATTTGGCTCATTTTTATAAATTTTGAATAAAACTTTAATTTTCAAAAATTTAGACTTTGACAAAGATGATATTTCTACATGTTTAAACTTAATAGCCACATCAATATCTAAATTTTTGTGTAATTCTTTTGCATGATGCTAAGTCAAGTAGTTCTGTGCGAGTAGTCACAGTTTTGAACCTGTTCAAACATCGCATTTTTCCTAGTGGAATTAGCATTTAACTAAATTAAACATAATATTTTGCCATACAATACAGTGAAATCCAAGGTGTTACACTTTTTTTGAATACTTGCTAACTATTGTAGTTATTTTTTTGAAACAGCAGAAAATATTGTACTATTTTTTTCAAGGCGTCAACAATTTGAAAATAACAGAATTTGCATGGGCAAGATTAAAACGAGTTCTATATTTAGAGGAAAAAGTCTAATTAAGTAAACTTTATAAAAGAAGAAGCAGTTGGTCAAGCCGAAATGTGCCAATGTAAATTTAAACGACGGAGACATTATAAAAAGGAATAAACCATTAAAACACCTTAAATTTAGATTAATTTCTTGTACGTATGCAGTGTTATGGACGATCAAAGGAGCACCTAAGTTGATGGTGTTTATTCATATAAAAATTAGTTTTTTTTGAAATCTTAATTTGAAAACATAGCAAAGATAGATAAATGATATAAAATAACATAAAATTAGGATTATTAAACAATTTTCTGAACAAATTGAAGTTGGCACTTTTGGAGGGCCATTCATTTCGTGCTCAATCACTGGAATATCAATGAATCCGAATACTACTCCAAAGAAAGGAATCATAACGCTTCTGAAAAATTTGCATTATAGCTAGGGCTAAAAGATGGCACTGTTTTGCCCACGGGTTCATAGCAAATATTAAAAACCCCTAAATAGTTGATTGTGCATAGTTTTGATGGATAGCATTAAAAAATAACAGCCAGAATAAAACCTTATTTAGAGAGGTAATATGTGTCAGTACAAGTAACAAGTGATAAAGTTGTGGTTTTTGAGTACATCAAAAGTCAAGACGGCGAAAAGAGTTAGCTAAGAGGGCTGGAGCCCTCTTATCTCAATATTATTATTTACGAAGAGCTTTTCAGTAAATTTTCTAAAATAAATGTCAAATTTAAACAAAGGGAAAACCATTGATTTGGAAGTTTTTAAAAAATAATTTATTTAAAATAAGTAAAAAAGTCTACTTCAAACTGTTAGCATGTGATGCTTTGGAGTTTCGAGTCAGACAGATTAATATGAATATGGGTCTATTTATATGGAAGCTGAGCTGACCCAATTACCAAAATAGCCCATTAGCGAGATCTCCTCACTTAATAGAATTTATACTAGAATACCTAAAAGTCAGCAAGTGCTGCCAGTGTGAGTGTGAAGTGTGTGAGACTCACTTGTTTTACAAAGGACCCAATGGTTGGCCTTTTTGAAAAACAGACGAATTGTATTTTTGCTGACCATAAACAAAAAACTAACGAGAGTAAATTTCACTATCATTGCCACATTCACACAGCTTTATTTTCCTTGCGACTGTCGTAAAAATAATCAACAAAACATGTGATAAAGTGTGGATATAACAAATTGTTGATATCTCTCATGTCGTCAACATTTTTTTAACTGATAAACAATTTGTTTGTCAATATTTATATTATCACCACAAATATCTAAAATTAATAATAGGATATTCATAATTCATACTGCATGAAATATTTTAAAAAATGAGCTATTTTAAATTTTAATTACACTTTGTTGCTGTATTATTAATACTCAGTTGTGTTGATACCGACATTTCTGCTTTAAGTTAAGGTTATTTCATTCGCTTACCTATGTGAAAAACTAAAAGTTACTTAAAATTTACTTTGCGTGAATTTAATAGATAGATGTAAAATTTGAGCAAATACAATGATGGTTAAGGTGAGATCCAAAATTAATTATTAATTTTTATTTTGAATTTTGAGAAACCTTTATATTGTTTGTTTGTAAAAGTTCGTATTTATAACTTCTTCGAAGTCGTTATGTCCTTCTCAGCATATATTCGGCTGGTATTGAAAATCATGACGTCATAGGGCATGGTCGTGTGTACAATAGCGTTACCGAAAATTTTTGTTTGATACATCACTGAAAACAACGCTAGAAACAGTAGTGCTTATTGAAAAAGTTAACAGATATATTTTTTAGACTCATCCGGCTTTAACAAAAGATATAAGTGTCTAGAAAAAACACCTCTTAACTTAGAAACGATTTCAGGCAAACAAAATACATGATAAAATGAACGGGAAAAGGCACCACAGTAAAAGAAAGGCACGAATAATATCTGACAAAAACTGTGAATAAGAGTAAAACTAAACAAGGCACAGCAAACAGGGGGATTTCGTTTTCAGCCAATCAGCGATTTCTTTAGGTTTTTCAAAAGTAGCCAATCAGAGCTCGCAAAACGCATAAATGGAAGCAAAACGAGTAAGAAAATCGCACTTTGTTTGAATCCTTAGGAGAGTTTCGTTTTTGAATAAATAGATATAAAAACCAAAGACTCATATAAAGCAACACTTTTCTTCAAATTTCTCGTGTACATTTTTGAATTTTCGATTTAGAACCGATTTTATCGTTTAACACGCGCGAAATAGCATTGGTCAATATATAACTACTATCTTAAAGATCTCAAGTGATTCAGTCTCTTTGTTCAGGTGAAGCATGAAGTATCTAAATTTTGTATAACGACGACTACTTTGATAAATGTTTGAAGTAGATATACACTCAGTCATACTGCTCTATGCTTGACAGAGCTCGTTAGACAAAATTCTGCGACATAACCTATAATTAAAAATGATTATTACTTGTCAAACAGTAACGATAATATCAAAATATTATGTATGGTTGTATATTAAATACTATTACTCTACTACTATTAGATTGTTTGCATTCTATTTGCATTCTAAAAAAGCATATTTTTCATCATCAATCGATAAAACGTCGGCTTATAACGTAAACTATTTGAATCATCTCTTATCTTGGGTGAGTTGAGTAGAGTTATGTCCAAAATTCGTCTTAAACTCGGAAAATGAAAATAAAATACAGTTTTAGAAAACGCACATGCAGCACAAATATTATTAAATATATAAGTTTGAAAATTTGGAATCCAGGCATATATGTATATAAAAGATTAAAGTTTCTCCGGATTTTAAGTGATTTTTATTGAGCTTTCGACTCGTTGCTTCGAGCCTTCATCAGAATGAGGATATTTATTTACACGTGCAAATCACATTAATCCACCCACTAATCCAATTAGACGCTCTAAACGTTTGTGTCGAGAAAAATTAACACGACTTTACTTGACAAAAACTTGTTGTAAAGGTGTGAATTTAACTTCTTTTATCTGTTTCAATTTTCTAGTTTAATTATTTCTAGCAGACTTGTGCTGTCCCAGCCGCCTGGCGTACAGTTGATGCTTATGAAGATCAAAAAGGATAAATTAAAAAACACACATGCTATAGCGTAACTTCAAACATATAAAGTTCATTTATGAAAATCCATCCTCTGCTTCTGCACTGCTTATTGGCACAATATTTGCAGACAACAACTCAAAACATTTACCAGAACAATATATAGATTTTTAGAGAAGAAATGTCAACTAAATTAATCAAACTAACATCTTTTTAGTTTTATATATATGCAGTTGTGCTAGTTAAAGACTTTAATGCCCATACTTCCATTTCTATGTCTCCTTGTCAAATTAAATCACATTTTTGTAACTCTATTTTTATTTAATACCAGTCGAAGGCTGTAGGATGACAGCCGAAAGCTGGTAAAAAATATAATATTTTAAAAACAGAGAACGCTTTTTTTATTCCACATTAATAATTCTGTTTACGCGTCTAGTATTCTTAAACAAATTTTAGTAAAAAACATTTAATAAAAACGACATTTTTTAAAAGCGAATATCATCGTTTTTATTAAAATTTTTTAAATTTGTTGCTACTAAGAAATTATTGTGACATATTTTAGTGTTGACAACAGAGTGTAATAAAACAACGTGCGTTTTATGGCCCTATTTTCTCTATAAGAGGAGAACATTCAAGTGTGCATATGCCTAGAAAAAAAGACTTATTGTGAATTGAGCATCAACTTCATTGAAACTTTTCCCTGAAAATGGAGTTTTTAGGCCGCACATTCTACCCGCTACTCACAATATTGCTCCATTACTGTGCACAAAGAGTTCTTTATGAAAGCGGAAGAACTAAATGTGCACTGCCTCTTCAATCCTTTTGAAGGATCAAGAACACTTGAGATGCAAATTTAACTATTTTACACTACTAGAATAACTAACGTAGCACTGACGGCAAGGTCGACGGTTTTGCTTTAATATTTTCAATAATATCTACTATTTTCATAAAAACGTGACTTAGTATGGCTATATGCGCATAAGTGTGAAGCAAGACACTTTTTGACAATTTAAGATAGCGACGTCGTCATCATTTAAATTTATTGACGCCAAATACCACACGCTGAATGCAATTGATCAGTGCAATCACACCATATTAAGTAAAACTCGTTCATAGTTTAAAGTAAATCATAAGAAATAATGTCATTTCATTTGTTCATGACTGTCAAGATAATCAAAGTTTTATATGGACATTTGACAGATGTTTATTACACGAAAATATTAAAGTTATAACTCACACAATACAATTAAAGCCTTTATTTTGACACTTAAGTGTCAATTATTTGACTTAAATGACTATAATAGTGAAATATAATAACATTAGATCAAACGTACCTCTCACTCTATAAAACGATATTTTTGGCAAAAAAAACCGTGATCCACCCAAAGGCGCTATGTAAGTTTTAATGACGATCGCTACGTCTTTAACCGTTCAGAATTGTCAATGAACACCAAACAAATTTCTAACTTCCTTTTATGGAAAATGGCATATTGGTTTTCAGAATGAAATTGTCAAGTGTTTTTATTCGCTTTTAAATTCAAAAATGTGAGATTTGGAAAATAGTTTAAGTTGCATACTCGTTTGAGCTTCATTCACTCATAAACACAAAAAAATCACGACTTACAGAGAGGTAGAATGGGATCTAGCTTTGAAGATAAACAAATTTCATTTCAAAATTACAGTGTTTACTTTAAGAGAATATGTTTAAAAGGTAAAAAGTTTCAACGAGCAGATTCAGCAAGTAAGCTCAGGTAAAAATCAATTCAAGCTCAAACTTTGTATCGTAAAAAGAGCACTCTCAAAGAAATTCTTTGCGTTCCTATTCATTTCACATTAAATAAATTTAACAAATCGCACGCCTACCAGACAAATTTTTGCTCCTTTATTTGTTACTGGTTACAAAGAGTAATCAAATTCAATCTAAATATCGGACTGCATGCCAGTACATGTTGACGTAAAACAAAGCACTTTTTGAATTTCTTATTTTTTAATTAAAATTTAAGCACGACTTACGTTGCTCAGAAAATAGAGCTCATTGAAGTACTGCGGCAGCGAATTTTTCGACGAATTTTTTATTTGCTTAATAAAGTATTCAGTCCTTTAGAAGCAATTTGATATTAAAATGACTATCATACGTTCACGAAAAGTGGATTAATTTTGCCTCCAAAGTTCGTTGCCGCATGCGAACTTCATTGCCGCCACGTGACGTCCCAATGATCAATGACAATCAAGGTCGATATGCTAATATTATTATCATAACACGCTCGCTTTTCTACTTGCATTCTTCTGCTTTTAAAGCGATTATTTTTAAGCAAAACTAACTCTACATTGAAGAGAAAAGTAGTGTCGAAGCAATGTCATTAAAAGAGTCGGCTAGCACCAGAAATACGTCGGATAATCGTTCATCATCAAGGGACGCTTCTGATAGCGTCGTGGTTATAAAACTTTGCATCGTCGCCGTAGTTTAGCGTATTAAGCTGCGGACCTGGGTGAAAATACAGTTGCAATAAATTCAGATGCGGAAGGAATAATGCAACAGACGTAAAAGAAAAAAATGGCGAAACAATGCCATTAAATTAGAGGTAAGTATTTATAATTGGGTACATGGCCTTGTAACACATGTCACTGTCAAAATAAAATACCTTTATGCAATTATTATTCAAATCACGAATAACTAATTTACGGAACTGTGCTTATTGCCTATAATGCAACAATTAGTTTTTGTAGTCTAATAAATTTCTTGTTTTTACAACATGAGTGTGTAATCCATAAACAATAGCACATAGCATTTTTATATTTTAATTAAACTCTTAGGTGCACTTGTCAAAGTTGCCAAATTGTGTTACTTAATGGTGCATTGGAGTATTGTTGCTGTAAAGAAATGACACCAGTGATAAGAATGATGACTTTTGATGGCAGCATTGAACACATCAATTGTATCGCTGAACATGATCTTGGACCCATCACTTTCCAAACAGTCTTGGATGTTGGCCCATTTCTGAAGGACAGGAATGGACAACTTTATCCATGGTATGGATTACATATTGGAATCAGTGATCACAAACTTGGAAATTAAATGATCTTTTGCCACCTTCATATTCCATAGCATTACTGCTTCCAAATTAATTAGCCCAAACCAGTAATTAGGGAACAAATTTTCCAATATCAGACATAATAAACAACACAGTCACGTCAAGCACAGAATAACTTAGATAAATGGAATTGACATGAAAGTATGCAGTAATATTGTACTATAACTGAATGAATTCGAAGTGGACTAGTTTTCATGATGGATCTTTGAACATTGTGTTAGCACCATATTTTGCATTGTAATCCATTGAATGAAGCCACCCATCTCCAGACCATTTTGAGATTCATCTTCTTTGTTCTTTATTTCCTCAATCGAACCAAATTTGCAAACTTCCCAACGTTTCAAAAAGACGAAAATAAGAACTCTCTTTGAAGGCTGTGACATGTTACAGTAGTGTGTAAATTCATGTGTCTAAAAATCAACATAGCATGATTATTGATGAATGAAGACAACAAAATGCCAAAGCTTGTCATGATATTGCCAACTGGAAAACTATCTAGCATAGGTTGACTTTTCCATGTGCTTACTACATGCTTACTAGCGTTTGAAAATTAAGCTTCGATGTCGGATGAACATCCACGGCAAAAATTACTTGCAGTCTCGCTTGTTATTCCATGTTCAGTCTTTGAATAAGAAAACAAGAAATTTCGAAAAGGCAGTCTTTTCCGGCGACGCACAATCTTAAATAAAATGAAATATCAATAGACAAAGTCAACAATAATATCATACTGAAATCACTATGTGCGCGCGCGCTCGTCAAATAACGCGAGACGAATAATACATACCTGTCTTCATTTTCTCTCTATTGTTAACTCTTCAGCCGTTAGAACAAAGCCTGCCACATCAATAGTAGGAACGATATTGTCTTTCAACGCTGCTTTAGTTTTGAGCAACTTAGTCAACGCAGGATTCATGTTATAGCATGAATCGTCAAAGCTGGTTGAACAAGGATGCGATGTAGCCTGAGCTTGAAAATTTGGTCGATGTTTGCGAATAAAATTTTCCCACTTTGTCCGCCTTTTCGGATCTCTTTTTTTTAGTGAAAAAAATACAATGATATTCATTCAATAAATTGTGTATAGGTAGGACTTTCTAACTTTGGACGGCCAGCACCACAACTTCTACGTCTACGAAGGCGTTTATCACTATTAGTTCTATACGCCATGTTTAGGAGTGATGATCGTTGTGACGTCACACGACAAAAAAAGTTTGCACAATATGTAGCGAAAATCGCAAATTTACAAAGCTATAAAGTATGTTAGAAATGACCAATCTTAATTCTGTTTTCGGCTAACGTGTTAATAAAGCGCATATTTTGAAGCAAGTAAATAAAAAAGCACTATAAGATAGCGCACCTCATATGTACGGAAGGTAGGGTTTCTTGCAATAAATCATTCTAGCAGGAAATAAAATAGCTAGTAGGTGTGTGTGACTTCCTAGTTGCAGAACAATAACCGTGGTCTACCCAAAACATCGTGACTCGTGAGATTGTCGTATGTCATTCTGCAATGTCTTAGACTTGGTGGAACGAAGAAAACCATCCCTTCGACAACAACAGCAGACAGGCAGCAACAATTTCCAACAAGCATTTCACCACCTTTTACCTCTTCCACCTATAACAACTATGGGAAAAACTAGAACGCTTATTTAGTGGGGAAGTAAATATTCATATATTCAGCTCTGCCATGCTGATTTCTTTTGGAATTAGATTCGCCAACAAAAGAAATCAGCAGGGCAGAGCTGAATATGAATATTCCCACAAACCATTTAGCGTTCTAGTTTCACCCCTGACAACAACACTTTTATGTCTTTTAAATCACCAAAACATAATGAGGTAGCACGGAGGCCAAAAACGCCAACCTCACTTCCAACAAACACTTTTCTTAACCCCAAAACTTCTACATATTGTGAGTCATTGAGATATGAAAAAAGAAATCACCTTCCAAATCATACGTGTGGCTTATTTTTTCTGGTAGTTTCTACTCAAGATGGCACACTCTAACGAAATATATCTAACTGAAACAGAAAGCCAGTCTGAAAATGCAAATGCAATGATTGCAAATTTTAACCGTAATATCTCACATTAATAGGGCATCAGACGTAACTTCGATCTGTTGATTCATGCTGTTCTTCGTTTTGCATTTTCAAAAATCCCAAGGAAAGGTTTATGATCAGTAATCAAAGTGAAATTTGCAGCATGTATAGATAAATGTGGTAATGTCATACAGCTCAAATAAGAGCCAACTTCTCTTTCTGTCTGTCTGTAAGTAACAAGATTCTACATCAGAAAGTGCACGACTGTCCTAACTAATAATTTTGTCTTCTTGGGTTACTAACTCACCCCAACCCGTTTGACTTGCATCAACAGCAACTTTGCTTTGTTAAGAACAAAATAGAACACGATCACCTGTCAATTCGTCATGGAGTTTTTTCAGGGTGTTTTCTTGTTCTACTTGCCAATTCCTTTTGACATTCTGATGTGTTAGAATACGTAAACAGGGATAGTAATTGATCAGTAGATTGGGATAAAATGAGTTACATACTGCGACATACTGAGCAGTGATTTCACTTCGTTTTTACTTCTTGAAGTTTGTATATTCTTAAATTTCTCAATTTTATTTTTATCTGCTGGTACTCCTTGTGCACTGAATGTGTGACAAAATTCAATTTGTTCTTACATCCAGGCAAATTAGCTGGCAAGTCTGCAAGTGCTTTTTTAAAAATTTGATTAGATGCATTGATACCAAACATTAGTTGTTTGGAGCATCAAAGTCAAACATGCGTGGTAAACATACTTATGTGATAACTTTCGTCATCCAGGTGTAGTGGATAGTAGCCTGATGCTAGGTCAAGGGTACTAAGCACAGTTGCTCCGTGAAAGTAAGTGTTTCATCAATAATAGGCATCAAATTTGTTTCTCTTTTTTACCTCTTTATTTGCTTCTCACATATCTACACACATATAAGTAAATTTTTCTTTTGGACATTGACAACTGGACTAGTCCATGTTTCAGGTCCTTTGACTTTTTCGATTATATCAAGGTTTCCTATAATCGTTGAAGTTCTGCTTCTGCGTCATTTCTGATACGAAAAGGAAAATTTGGTGATTTGGGTGCTTAGGTGTCACAGCTAGATCATTGTAAAACTTGACTTGTCTGTTTTTTATATTTCCAACACCACCAAACAAGTTGTTGAATTCCTCCTCTCTATGGAGCTTAGATAAACTAATGGTTTCAGATAAAAATGAATTGTGGTTGTTTTCAACAAGGATAACCTTGTTTTATGTATTTCAATGTATGCTAGGTTAATTAATATCAAGACTGAGATTTATTTGAAAAGAGATTGGAGTTAGGGAATGTCAGCGTTGTTTACTTCGAACGTGATGTATGTAGCCTCGTCCATGATGTTAGCAGCTGCTCCAGAGTCCAGAGTCTATAATTACATGTACAAGCAGGATCCCGACGCAAACAGCACAATGTGGAGGTTGATTTCTGCCGATGTGCTTCTTTGATACAACAAAAATATAATCAGGATCATTAGACAGGGCAAATGCTCTAACACACCAAGGAAGCGCTTAACCAATCTTTATAAAGCCATACCAAATTTTTGTAAATAATCGTACTTAACATGACGAATGTCGTCATCAAATTAGTATAATATCTCTTAAAATCAATTATATTTCTTGTGCATTGGGTAGAAGGGGCATAAGACATAGATATTTGTATACAGTGTACAAAATCCATGTGAATAATAACTATTACAATGAAAATGATGACTTCATCGTCACCTCATTGGGAAAGAAGCCTTAACAACGTCACTTTATTTTCTGCTTCAGTTTTCTTGGTTTTTTTAAAAATTTCCGATATAATGTCGTTTTTTAGTCTCAGAAATTGAATTATCTATAAGCATTACACAAATGACCTTCCGCACAAATAGTTAAGAAAGATATTTTATATGTTTACTAAAATTTCACATAGTTCTACATCCGTAATAACAAATCACGCCTTCTTGAATTTTGAAATTTGTCATGAAAAAATGAGATAACGGTTTTGTTTATCTTTTCACAGACTAAAAGTGTACTTTCAAGGTAGCAAAATGATGGAGAGCTGTTACTGATCAATTGTGTATTGGTTGTCTTGTGATAACTTTTTAACAAGTTACACAGTTCATATCGGAACTCAAAGAATGCATTCATCGCCTAATCCAGTCTTCGTTTGTAAATTTTTTGAAGCTTTGATTTTTTGTTATTTTGCCAAAAAAGAATCATTGCCATCATCTAACTCGCTTTAATTTGCAATTGGTGATCGAAATTTCTGATTTCGGCACTGCTTTTTTACTTTAATCGACTTTTAGTACGTTGCTTCTTTTTCTTTTCTTTTCACTCTTCTATTTCACGCTTTTAGCATTGATATCCTCACTAACATGTTCGCCTTTACGACCATCATTGCGTTTTCTCCTTTGTTTGGTGGTCAACGAAGGAGGTAGCTGATCTCTATTAAACCATAGAGAGAAAATTTTTCTTTGTTTGCTTCACTATTTCTATAGCATTATATGTTGAAGTTATCATCTCAACGTTCATCTCGGTGCAACGCAGCGACATGTAGGTTTGGTGGTGTGCTCCGTATAGACGTTCTTATGTAAATTCAGATCGGGTTGAAGATACATATTTGACTTATCTTTCACTCCTTATACTGCAAAACTCTAGTTTAAATTCCAGTTTGTCTACTAAGCTCGTTTTGTGTATTTTTTTTTGTGAACTTTTTAATCTTGCCCTATAATTTTTTTCTGCGAGACATAAACCTAACAGCATGAAATTGAACGATGTTTTAGACATCATAGACGAAAATTATGGTATTCCTGATGATGCAGAGTGCTCGGATATTGATTCCAAGCTTTCTGCCTTTTCTAAACATGATGTTGAAGGTCCGTCTTTTACTGTGAAAGAAGAACAAGTAGAAATTAATCATGGGTAATTTTCATGATATCGATGTAATTGAAACTAATAAGGATGAGCAAGTGTTTCTCAGCCTGGCAAAATACTGGCATACGACTTTTCAAGCATGAAATGGTCGAACGACGAATACTATAGGAAGAAATACGACGTGGTACTTTTATGCAGAATGTTAGTCCTGTAACTATTCTTCCAGAAGAAACTTCTGCCTGGATTTCTTTTACCTGATGT